CAATCGGTGCTTTTTAAAACACTATTGGTTGGGTTTAGAAAAGAGGGAGGGTGGGTCAGTTGATTGGTCAGTCAGTCAGTCATTCAGTCAGTAAACAGTCAGTCAACAGCGGCCTCTGGTGGATTAACTTGAGAAAAGCAGGCACGAATGGCACTCAAAACAATTTGAGATCTGAAAAAGCATACAGTGGCCCCTGGTGGATTCGCGAAAACAAAAACTGCACAAACCATAGCTCCTGGGATGTATTTTGCTCTCTCCAGAAATGTATACAGTGATACGTAATCAGAATGAGCCTGGGTTGATTAATACAAATAAACTTTGACCTTGTGGGGACAAATTTTGGTCCCCATGAACACCAGCTTATAAATAATTTAAAATTAAATCATTTGAAAATATAAAACTGCTAAATGTATTTGAAGTGCTAGATTTAAGATAATGTTAGTGTTAGATGACAGAATATACAGTCTGTACAGTATACAAATCATTACATACATAGGAAGTCCCCATAAAACATAAAAAATCCCAACATGTCTGTACAGTATGCATGCATGTGTGTGTGTGTGTGTGTGTGTGTGTGTGTGTGTGTGTGTGTGTGTGTGTGTGTGTGTGTGTGTCTGAATGAATGCATGTGTAAGTGTGTATTTGCATGTGTGTGTGCATTCAAGTGTATGTGTGTATGCGTGTGTGTGTGTGTGTGTGTGTGTGTGTGTATGCACGAGTCTCCTCCTCCTGTAAGGTCTGTAGTTTATGTAGGTCAGCTCCACTGAGAAACACTCTTTCTAGATGCATGCAGTTCAATATATGCAACCATCCATAGGGTGCAATGACAAAAACGCAACGCCTGCGCACACCACCTTTAGGGGCAGACAAATATCACAGACATCCTGATATATAAAGCGTAATAAGTCACATGTTGTATGTGAAAGAGCTGTGAAGACGTACATGCAAAAATGCCTGTTGTGAATAATTAATATGTAAATGAGTTATTTATGTCATGTAATCTCCGGTCCGCATTATATACGGTCACATCCGAGTCCTTCAAAGTCTTATTTACCCTGAGCAGACTTCATTTTAACCGAATCCGTTCGTTTAATGATGTCTAATGATTAATTAAATCTGTTGTGCCTTTCCCTCGCTTTAATGAGGCAGATGATTATGCGGTCCGTTAATTGGAACGAGCGCGTTCAATCACTGGATTCCTCTGAGTGTGGCGGAGAGTGTCAGAAAAATATACGGATGCATTTTACTTTTGGTAAATGAATAGTGACATCTGCAACACGTGTTAGAGCCGTGGGAGTAGAGAATGCCGCGCAAGGTAAAAAGATTCATTTATCTTCTGTTTTTGGGCAGAAATCTTCTGACGATGATGCGTAATCATGACTTTTTTCCCTTACTATATACAGTAAGAGCTTACAGAGTGTAATATATGAATGTTTATGCACACATATATATACATACATACATAAATATACACACACGCACACACACACACAAACACACACACACACACACACGCACACACACACACACACAACAATTGGTTCTGGTTCTTGAATCTGATTCGAGTGGATCTCTCTCTTTTGTATGTTGCAGTGCTGTATTGATACCATAGTAATTGAAGTGTATTGAGTGTGAAATGGGACTCGCATATCTGGAATGTGTGTTGTGTTGGAAGAAATACAGAAGAAATGCCCGGATGTGTTTACCATTTTTCCTTATCGCAAACACAACAGCCATTTGCGCTGCTTTTTTTTTTGTTGATTAATTATTCTGATATCCCCATTGCAACAGAGAAATACTGTAGACTGTAATCGACTGTAATACTGTAAGAAGATGTCTTTGTAGATTGATGGCATTTCAGGTCACGTTCAGCCTTATAATCTTAAAATGTCAGCAAAAACACTTGTTTTGTTATAACTTTAGACATTACGCTAGAGAATCATTCAAACACTAGCTTTAAAGTGACGTTGGTGAATTAGTAATGGCTTCTGCTGTTCTGATGTAAGCTGCAGATGTGAATGCATGGGGGAAGAAAGTAGTTCCCTAATACAAAGGGGTTTTTAGATTCTCCGTGTTTGATTTTCTTTTTTATATACACTATTGTGCTGTCGAACTGTTGTATGAATGCAATATCACACGGAATACATGGAATTCAAAACTGGAAAATATTTTGAAATATGATATAGAATTGCATAAAAAACACTAACATTCTAAAAAAATATACTGTGAAAAAAAGAAAAAAATTGCCATCACTGACCCAAAAGCTAGGATAGATGTGGAATGTGCCATGATAAATTATTTAATATTAATTTTATGTTCATTTTTCATTAATTAATTGTATTTATATATAATAATATATTTCATTATTATTATTATTATTATTATGCTAGAATTATTGATATTACTGTTGCTGTCTTTACAGAATATGAGTTTTATGGCTCGAGGCCTTAGTGTCCCTGTCTCTGTCGCCATCTTGTGGCAGAATGTCACCCATCTTTGCTCTGCTCAGTATGACAGGCTGATAGCCACGAATGCGGTAAATCTTCTATAAATATTTAAAATAGGCACCATCCTTATAAATTAAACTGCATAGTTGTAATCTAAACAATTTCCACATTCTCACCTAAAAGCCGCAAAAGTGCAGTATGTTGTCCAACAGCTGCGATATACAATATTTGTCAAACTGTCATGAGTTTATGGCTCTGCTGTCACTCGAAGTGACACAAGAGTGAAGAGGCTGTAAAGAATGCTGTTATTGCAGAATATCGCACAGGTATCAGCCAATCAGATTCGAGAACCAGACAGAACTGTTGTGTATACAGTTAAAGTCAGAATTATTAGCCCCCCTGAATTTTTAGCCCTCCTGTTTATTTTTGCCCCAATTTCTATTTAACGAAGAGCAAATTTTCTCAACACATTTCTAAACATAATAGCTTTAATAACTCATTTCTAATAACTGATTTATTTTATCTTTGCCATGATACAGTAAACAATATTTGACTAGATATTTTTCAAGACACTTCTATACAGCTTAAAGTGACATTTAAAGGGTTAACTAGGTTAACTGGGTTAACTAGGCAGAATAAGGTAATTATGCAATTTATTGTATATTGATGGTTTGTTCTGTAGACTATCAAAAAAATAGCTTAAAGGGGCTAATAATTTTGACCTTAAAATGTTTTTTTTTTTATTAAAAACTTAAAAAGCTTTTTTTTAATTTTTATTTTAAATTAAAAGCTTTTATTCTAGATTCCCCCCCCCCCCCCCCCCCCCCCCCAAAAAAAAAAAACAAAACAAATAAGACTTTCTCCAGATGAAAAAAAGTAATATCAGACATACTGTAAAAAATGTCCTTGCTCTGGTAAACATCATTTGGGAAATATTTAAAAAAGATAACAAATTCAAAGGGGTTTAATAATTCAGACTTCAACAATATAGTATTTAAATACAGCCAAAATTATTCTGATTGCCATGTCTGTTAGCTGTTTATACGTTCTGTGTTTATCGTATGCTGTATGTTTACACTCTAAATTAAAAAAAAAAAAACACGCAACTTTACAAAATATATACTTATAAAAGGTAAAAAAACGTAAAAATAATAATATTAGAAAACTAGAAAACAGCAAAACACAGCAACTTGATGTGCGTATAAGTGTGTGTTTCTCTATGCATATTTACGAGATTGATCAGTAGATTTACAATATAAAAAACAGATCTGTTAATATGCATAATATCATATCTTTAAAAAAAAAGAACAACCCCGAAAGCGTCAACAAATGTAGCTCGTTCACCAAAGGTTCAGATGCACAATTATAAGTTAAAGTAAAACACTTCAGGAGCCCCAGAGGCACAAATTGCTGAGACCCAGCATTATAATCCTGCATAATTATGGGGCCCGCTGGAGATGACGACTGTTGTGTCACCGGCAACAATAGACGAAGCCCATTTCAGCTTCTGTTAGCCTTTAGCACAACTTTCGCACCTGCAGAATCAGCTGTCTGCTTTTATAATTGGATTGTATCTTTACACCTTAATAAATACTAGAGTCTCTTGGGCATTTTTTAGAGGGATGACACTTTAAACAAATTCAATTATTTGGTCGTGCTCATTTTCAGTATAATCGAGACTTTAGAGGTGTTCATAACATGGCTTAACACACTGCAACGAGTTTTTATAAATTTTTATCTTTCTAATTGAAAGCTAAAATGCTATGACATGACAAACATGACAACAAATTGCAAGCCAGTAACAGTCAATTAGAGCATTTGTGATACATGACAGCACTGTACTTCAAATATAATCTTCATTACTACAGAACTCTTCGCCTGGATTGCGGCGGATTCATTCTACATTACAATATTTTTTCAGAATGTACAATGTTGATGCTTTAAATCTGGGGTCATAAAAAGAAACATGTCAGACTTAGAATTGGTTCCCGACCAATCAGCACTTTTATTCTATAATGATATGCATGATGTTAAGTGTCTAAGAGATCTAGAAACAAGAGAGTAAATAAAGTGGTTTCTGAAGTGATGTGGTTTGTACTGGCAGTTAATTTGAATCGTTCCTCTATTGTATAAATCAGTTGGGTTACAATATCCACAAACAAAATTAAATAAAACAAACCAAAATTAAACAAACAAAAAATAATAATAAATGAAACAAGAAAGCCGAAGGTTAAAACAAAGCCAAATGAAATGAAACAGAAAACAAACAAACAAATAAAAGAAAACAAAAAGAAACTGAAATTACACAAATAAATAAAAACCTGGTATAACAAAACAAAACCAAACAAACAAAGGAAAATAAAAGTAACTAATCTAATCTAAGCTAATTAAATATACAAACAAAACACAACAAATTGGTACATGTACAAACAATACAAAATGAAACAAAATAACAGGCAAAATATATCTAGCTAAGAAAAAAATGTCTGTATTTATGAAAAATGTCAAAAGGTGTTTAAAAAAATAATCAATGATTGTAGTAATTCAACTCACCAATATCAGCTTCTTTGTGGTTCTTTATGAACTCTGCAAGCTCAAAATTTCCAGCAATTATTGCCACCTTGAAAAAAAACACACACATACATGCACACAACATATTAGATGTATAGCTTTATCTCATACAGTATTTCAATACAAAGTGCTCCATCTTTTTTGTTGTTGTTAAGGCTGCATAAAAAATTCTCAATAAGAAACAAAAAAGGGAAAATATTAGCGATAGAACAAATTCTCAAAAAAAGAGTATGTGAGTCAGCAAACTTGGAGTCTGACCCACTGATGCAGAAATAAGACCACTGTTAGATAACATCTACTGTAGAGGCATATTATATGTTTTCATCATTTTACTGCTAATAGATTTTTTAAACAACAAATTAAATATTTTTCTAAATCATTTCATTTACAAAAAATATTTTTGACAACACATTTTTAGGATTATTTGATTGTATATACATATATATATATATATATATATATATATATATATATATATATATATATATATATATATATATATATATATATATATATTAAAGATTATGTATCAAACAGCAGGCCTATAAGTTATACTTATTATAAAACTGAGATTAACACAAAAACGCCATATTAAAAACAAGATAACATTTGTACGTTTGTAAAATTTACTTAATACCTACAAATTTCATATTTGTTAGGTTTAGCTTGAAAAAATATATATATATTTGAACAAATGAATGCATTAATACCAAATAAAGACATCTGCCTCATTTTTTTAATAAATAAATAAATAAATTTCATAATTAAATTCAATATTGGCCAAATATCTGACCACTAACTTTCAAATAATAGAGTGCATGCTTAATTTTATTCTAAAATTGTTGATAAAATGATCCATTTATTTTGTCTTTGTAATTTATTGTTGTCTTTTTCCTTGTCATCTCACGTAGACAAAGCAAAATAAAATCATTGCACTAAGTACACATGACAAGACCTTGATTTAAATGACTTTTTTTCTATTTTTCTATATTTGAATGTGTATTTTATTCCTGTGACGCAAAACATAATTTTCAGCACCATTATAACACTTTCAAGTGTCACATGACACTTCAGAAATCTTTTTTTAACATGCTGATTTACTTTTTGAAATGTTGAAACCAGCTGTGCTGCTTAATATTTTTCCCCAGGATTCTTTGATAAATAGAAAGACCAATTGACAGGCTTTTTGTTAAACAAAAATCTTGTGAAATGTAATGTAAAGACTTTAATGTCAATTTATTTCCTCCTTACTGAAATAAAAAGCATAAAATTATAATACAAAATAAATTATAATAAATTATTCCTACAACCCTACTCTAAAAATCTGTCCTATTTTTTTATTAATTATTTTTTTAACAATACTCAGAAAACACCATTTGCCACAATTGGCATTTTTGCCAATTGTGGCAAATGCCATCACCACAATTGGCATTTTTTTGTGAAAAACTCCCTGCAAAGTATAATGAAATCTTAACATGAAAAGCCTTCACACCTATGAAAAAGAAAGAAAAAAACCTTCAATAGAACGACTTCCCATTCAGTCCCCTTCAGCAGAGTTCAATTTCGATTTAATGGCTTTAATTTTACCATCCTTTAAAAAGTTAGTTACACAGTCTATTATAAGATCTATAATTTGCGCATCAGTCTGGTCACCAAAGTCTGGTTGTGAGAACAAAACTGGGGTTTAAAAGGTTCACAAAAGAACAGGAACACATTATGCTTGTAGTGCATTCATAAAAATGATAAAAACACACTAAATTAACTGTTAAGATTTGCACATTCCTTTACAAACGAATTACAGTGCTTGGTTGCAGCAAATAAAGAAATAATGCTAGTTTTATAATGCATTCAACATACAAAAAAAATAAAAAGTGATCAGAAACTGCACAAAACTTTGCAAGTGCTTTAAGACTCTCAAAATAAGCTTAATTGTTAATTGTTATTAATTTAATTTTGATGTAAGCTTTTGGTTATTTTTGGACTCTAGTAGGTATAGAATTCAAAAAAGAATTTTGTGAAATTATCTATGACTTTATATTAGTGTCAAAAACATATCTTGTATATATAGAAAGGCATCACTTAGTTCATCTGAAAGTAAGTTTATGCAAGCAGTACGAATTTTATAAGTTTGAAAAATGTTATTTTATTTTATTTTGATGTTGATTTATTAGAAATAAATGTCATTAGAATGTATAGGAATTGAATTAAATTCAGTAATTCTCACATTAAAGTTTTTTTAATATAAATTTTAAACAAATATATATTTAAACAGAATTTCTCATCCATATTGACAAAATATTTAAAAATTATTTTGCAAGTTTTTTTCAAAAAGAACTGAAAAAAAAGTGAAACAAAATGCCTGTTTTGAATGCATTATGTGGATAACAAAAACAAAAAACAGGAGCGTGAGTCAACAGACAAAACAAAAGGCCTAAAATTTTGAAACAAAAATAATTTCTTATTAATCAAAAGGAGATTCCCGCAATAACGCCATACTAAAAACCAAGATAACATTTTTATGTTTATAACATTTAATTAATAACTACAAATTTCATATATAATAGGTTTAGTTTCGTAAATTCTTACATTTTCAAAGAGATTCTAAGTTGTTAAAAAGAACTTTGATGCAGAACTAAATGCCTGTTTTAAAAACATTATGTGGATAACAAAACAAACAGCAAAGCAAGTTAACAGACAAAACAACAGGCTTATAGTTTTGAAACAAAAAGAAAGAATTTCTTATTTAAAAAAATGAGATTCCTGCAATAACACCATACTAAAAACAAGATAACATTTGTATGTTTAGAACATTCAATTATTAAGTACAAATTTCATATATAATAGGTTTAGCTTGGAGAGATTTTGTGTCAAAAAGAACTTTGATGCAAAACAAAAATGCTAGTTTTAAATGTGTTATGTGGATAACAAAAAAATAAAAATAAATAAAAAATCAGCAAAGCAAATTAAGAAACAAAACAACAGGCCTATAATTTTGAAACAAAAAGAAATAATTTCTTATTAATAAAAATGAGATTAAGGCAATAACGCCATACTAAAAACAAGATAACATTTTACATTTTAACATTCACTTAATAACTACAAATTTCATATATAATAGGTTTAGCTTGAAAATATTTTAAGTTCTCAAAGAGATTCTATGTGTCAAGAAGAACTTTGATCAAAAACAAAAATGCCTGATTTAAATGCATTATGCAGATAACAAGAAGAAAACAGGAAAGCAAGTAAACAGACAAAACAACAGGCCTATCATTTTAAAACAAATAGGTCAAAGGAATTTACTCAGCTGTTAAATACGATTCACACAAGCAGTTTTGCCTGATGTGTCATACTAAGCCCACATTGCTGATTAAAATCCTTGACCTTTCGTTTTCTTCAGTCGACCCCGTACCATCATTCTTGCAGCCAATAGTGAAACAGTAACACAATTACCTCAGCATGCTTTCCATTCGGCTGAGGAGAAGTTCAGTTTAACCAGGCGGATCAGCAGAGCTTCGGCCTGAAGTTTCATGAGCCGCTTAAATGAGTTGTAATCGAGCGATCGCCGAGGCGTGAAATATGATTTCAGCGGCATGAGATGAATAATACAGCGCATTAAACAACGCATCAGGAGAGCGCTGATATGTACATTACATAAACACTTCACTCCTACATCAGGTTTGGAGAGAAGCAGGGTCAGTTCAAAGCTTTAGAGGTTGTAAACCGATCAACCAGCACAATGAGGCCAGTCATGAACACTAAACGCAGAAGCAAAATGTTGAGCTGACTGCAAAACTAATGATTTCATCTCTATTTTAACTCTTTTGGAGGCTTGCCATTGGATTGCTGTTGCGATATGTGCCATCTAATGTGCTAATAAAAGACACCGTTTTTCCTTGAGGCACAAACAACAATGCGCTTTCAGAAATGTACTGTAAAAGAATGCATCGAACCGAGTGTTTTAATATGTTATTGATACTGATTTGAAGACAGAAAAAGGTGTTAAATGTTTAATCATAATGTACAGAAAATGCTGAATCCTATACTGTACAAGGCTGGATAAACAGGGCTATGTGTTATGAGATCAAACTGTAAAATAAAATGCAACTGTAATATGCAACAAAAAGCTGTTTCATTCTGGTACATTGCATTTTGAAGATAATTTCTTGTAACATTTGAGACTTTCAAATATTATATTTTGTTGCTTCCTTCGAATGGACATTGTATCTGTTTATCTGTACATCTTTTTATGAATCTCACGAATTATTAAGGGTGCTTTCACTCCTAGGCTTTTGTTTCAGAACCTGACTCATTTGCCCAATTAGCACGGTTCGTTTGGCATATGTGAAATCAGCAACCGCGCTCGGATCCGCGCCAAATCAATTGGTCCGAGACCGCCTGAATGAGGTGGTCTCAGCTCGATTGAAACGAATTCTGGAGCGGATTGATTGTAGTGAGAAAGCAAACAATCAGAGATATATAGATTTCTAGAATTATGAGTAGGGCGAGATGTCATTCCTACCTGTAAATGTGCGTTTCATGTCTAATACGAAAGTGAAAGCATGCTAAACAATTAATGAGAGATGTTTATTCATTAGGAACATTAACCGAACTGCAGTCTAGCCAAGGGCTATAAATGAGAGAGTCTAACCTGATTTATATCTGGTGACGAAGTCTGTGGGCATCACCATTGAAAATTAAAGTGAAGCTTTTTGCTTATAATGTTTATAATGGTCAACGCCATAAATTAAAATACGGACACAAGGAAGCTGAGCGGGACTCTGCAAAATAAACCATGAAACTCTGACCAATGTAAGCAGAGTTAACTCACACGTGACTTGTTTTAGCTCTTTTTGGTCTGTTTAAAAACTTTGCCGCATGAAAGCGAACAGCACCAAGAACAAAGAGCAACGCTGTAACAATTTTAATCCCTGTTTTAGAACAACTGAATCGATTCACAGGTGTAAAAGCACCCTAAATCTTATTTTACTTCTCATTCTTAGATTTATTAAAACTTCTGCTTTCCTTTTTCAAGTTTTTTTTTTTTTTTTT